AAAAAAAAAAAAAAAATTAGGATGAAAAAAAGGAGAGAGTGTAAGACAGTTATTTTGTTTTCTTCATAATATGTTTAGGAAGAAATCAGTAATCTGAGTTTCTTTTAAGTGAAAAAATAAAATTGTTCATTCAATATAAAAGGTATAATCCTGACACAAAACTGAATGCCTGCCTTTTGCATTATTAGCCACACCATTACATGCTGTGTTATATACCTACAAAGCAACAAAAAAGACAAAGTTTGATTCATAGATAAAGGTTCATATCTGGGACAACTGGAAATGGAAAACCTCAAATTTCAATATCTGTGACATTCTTGAAGAATAAGAGAGAAGAATCATTGTAAACTGAAATGAAGTTGCTTACATTAGAGGAGGTACAACTCCTGAAGAGAGAGAGAGAGAGAGAGAATTCTATTTCACAAAACATCTTTTTTTTACTTTTAATGAATATTTTACAAATAAATACATGAGAAATCTTTTGGTGTTTGAGTAAAATACCTAATACACTGTTGTTCCCAAGTCCAAAAAATATAACCAACGTAACTATATCAGAAAGGACCCTTCAAAATGTTAGTTAGTAAAATTAGTGATGTTACATGCATATGTGAAGAATGATTTGACCCAAAATAGCATAGAACTTGTAATTCTGTCTTCAGAAATTAATACTTTTTAACGTGATCTGGGTAATGCAGTTAAAAAAAAACAACCTGAAATTTGCATTAGAGATGTTAATTTGATCAAAACAGATGCTGAAACAGTGGTAAGGTTTAACCAAATGCCTGTTAGCTACTAAGTTTTCAGATGATGAAGCTTTTTGATTTGTCCATGAAAAATAAGATGATGAAAAAAAATAGATAGAAGGAACTTCTGCAAGCTTATAAAATGAGAAGTAAATCCAGAAAATATATACATCTAAATAACACAGAAATGTATGTAAGTCAATTACTAACATGCTAAAATCGGGTATCTACACAAATAAGAAACAAAGAAGAAACAAATACACCTATAAGTCTCAAAATCCTGTTGCAGGTTGCATCAGATCCAGCCATTAAAGTGCAGCCCAACCACTGCAGAGCACAGTACTTTCTCCCAAACAAAGAATTAACCAGTGAACAAAAACAGTTAATTAAATGCAAATTAATGCCAATACCTGAACAAATGCTCCTCTAAGAAATTCAAAATAAAATTTAGTCAGATCATTAATGTACATCTCTATGTCAAAATAGTTATAAAGAGTCGACATTAAGAAAGTATTCAGTACCCTGAATGCTACATGAGCATCACTGAGTAGTGGCCCCTCTATTTCAACGATGTTCATGTTTGTTTCTCCACCAAGCACCTGTGCACTGGCATCAACACTTTCAGAGTTCTGGCATGCTGAGCTCTCTCCTGGATTTAATGCCTTTGCAAGAGTATCAAATGCCCTGTAAGATCACAAACAAACAAAAAAAATTCATTTTAGAGACCATTTCAATTTAAGAGGAACCCGCACAAGTCTGAAACCTGTATGTAGAAGTCTGTTTCAAAGAGAGATTTGGAAAATAAGTCATCAGTAGCATGCTTTTCCTGACATTCCACCAAACTCTGAGACAAAAATTAGCAGCAGATCCTGTTTACACTTGTTGCCAACAAATTCACAGTTTTGACATATTGGTTGTGCTGGTGAATCACAGTTTGCTTTTCAAGATATCTTTAGTGATGTTCACTGAGAGTGCTGGCGTGAGCATTTTGAGGACAAGATCACCAGACTGCTGTTACAGTCACTTACTGCATGTATAAATTTTACAGGCTTTTAAAGCTATGAAGCACAAACAGAATGAGATTTTTTTTTTGTTAAGTAGAGTTGTAGTTAAGATTTTTCAAATTAAATTTGAAAAGACTGCTTCAAAATATGTAAGAGAAAGTACTCCCATGCTTTCAATAAAATCCAGTACCCTTTGCTGCGTGGCAGTGACTCTTGGCTTTCACAAGCACAAATGCTAGAGGGCAGATGTCAGGACAAGCACAGATATATTTACTCAAAAATACACAGATTTGATCACTGCCTACAGACAGATGACATATCCTGGGAACAGCAACATTTCTATACAGTGTTGCATGCTGAAAAACTTATGCACTGAGGCCTGAAAACTTTACAAAAGCTGATTATCAGCTTGTATATAGAGCTCATTCTCAATTTATAGACATGTTTATTACCACAGAGTCTAAAAATCACTGATTTAATTCCAAATCTGGGATAGAACTTGGCCACCTTCTCTATCCCCACACTCTCTAGCTATATGAATTCACTAATATGCTAAAAAAATTGAGCTGTTTAACATAACTACACACAACCAAATGAAATATCACAGAGCTGCTGACACTGCCTAAAGGCTTGGGATGGTAAACAAACAACTTTTTGGTCCTAACTAGCCTGTGTGCCTTGATGTGTACACGAGGGTGACTGGGGCATACACAAGTGGACTATACAGACATACCTGGGCCATCTCCTGTCTCTGGTACGTACAAAGTTGGCACAAAGGGAAGGCATTCATGGCTCAGCTCTAGAAACTATTCTTTGGACTGCTGCTAGAACATCTAAGTTTCAGGTCTTCCACAATTCAGTCTTTGCAGTCTTAGGTAGAACAGGCAAACACAACAGCTCAGTGACAGCTGCTTTTAAGAAACAACAGGATCTCTGCAGGGCTCTTCATACAGCATGGACAGAAATTTAAGAGAGGAACAAGACTTCCCCTTTCTCCAAAAGGTAAATGTCACATGCATCTGTCACTATCCTGTATTTATTCTAGCACAGGCTGAAGAGTCCTTTTTAAATAGTGTGGGCATGTATACTTGTTAACCATGTCTGCCCATGACACTTTTTCTCAACCCATTCTTCAATGTTGCCTTCAAAGAAATCTTCTCCCTCTTATCTCAAACTGCCAGTAGTAAGCCAGCAGAAATCAGTAGCAGCTTTGCTTCCTCATGGCTCAGCAATGTGAGTCCTTTCCTACACAAAGCTCCAACATGAGCAATGTCTGTAAAGTAAAACACCACAGGAAAGAGAATCTAGAACAAAACTTGCCTGGGAGCTATGAAAATCTAGCCCACAAAGTGAGAAAACAAGGCATAATCAACATTAAAACACATGGCATTGATATCCTTTGCTACAAATAATTTTGTTTCTCTTTTTGTCAGTCTCAGTCATCAACAGATATATAGGACTGCAGATAAACTGTAAAGAAAGAACATCATGAAGCATTAGAGGACAAGGCATGTAAAATTACAATATAAAAGCAGTGGGGTGCTTACAGCAAAAGTTGTAGTCTATGTCAGCAAAAGTGAAATCGTAACTACTGCAAGCAGAATATAATAAAATACATGAAAAGCATAGATAGATGAAAAGTGCTCTCTGAAGTCCCTTAAACTTTTCTTCCTCAATAAATATCTGTGTCTGTTAGATCATGCTGGCATTGGGCCTGACAGGGAAATCAAAAATTTAGACAAAAATTGTAGTTTCTCTTGGAGTAACTTCCCTTTCCACAGCAATGTTTAACTCTAACTTCCCCACTATACAACAATTAGGTAGCCTACTTGACAAGAATACATCAAGTCAGAGCTCTTTCAAAGCTCTCTGGGTGAGGTAACCTGATGCCTTTTCACAGACAGATTTCTAAAACTGAACAGAAACTCTGAAGTTGGTAAAAATAAGCATCTGGAAGTGTCAGAAAATGTAAGATTACAACCTCTCAGCCACAGTATTGAATGATGTCTATCAGCACATGTAACAGTACCATTTACATGGCATATTCCAATATTCTTTACCTACGAGAACACAACAAAGGTCCAAATCAGCATCTATAAAGTCAGAGTGACTTTCTAAGTAGTATATAAAGAAAGGAGCAGTAAAAACATAATCTGCTTGCAATTACACAAACCAGGAGAGAGCACAGGGGAAATCAGATATTTCAGCCACTCTATGCCCACCTTTTTCCCCTTAACAGATTTACTCCACACACACTTTCAGAACAGCATGTAAAATGTAGCTGTTGTGTTAAAGAACGTTGCTGGGACAGCAGTCAGAAGCATGAGATGACAACCAAGAAAGAACATGACTGTGACTTGTGGAACAGCTGTGGATGTTCCGTATAGTTCTGTATATACATCTTACACATACACTCACTACAATGGCTCAGTTAAAACCAGTGCAAGATACAAGTCTGGAAGATACTCAGTGGATGTATTAATATTGAGAATTCTGTAATTTCTCCTGTGCAGAAGAAAAATGCTTTACCAGCTTTTAATGTGACTAATAGTTACAGGCACTTAACTATCACACAGGTGAGATCTCTTAAGAAGAAGTTTTGCAGGATGATGCAAGGTACTAAGACCTAACATACCTTTTGGTTGGCCATACTAAGGTAAGATAATAATTTATACTGAGCATTTATACTGAAATTAATTTCAAGTACAAAACAACTAAAAGGATTTATTTCTCTACTGGAACTTTCTTTTCATTTCACTTGGAAGAATCTTAATATAGTTTTCTTCTACATGAGCTTATGCTAATATTACTATTACTTTTAAAGCAGATAGATTTCCCACAGTGTGATGATTTAACTGACTGGACTGAAGTGACAGAGGCCTCCTCTTGGAAAGGATAGTGTTTTTAAGTGTAGCATGCCTTACCTTGTAACATCACTACTAGCTTGTTCTTCTTGCTTGAGTTCAGATAATGATGCATCTCCATTACTCAAACTTTCGATCATGGATAGCTCTGTACTGCTTTGTGACATGTCCTTGCATTTACTGAGATTTGCTAATGAAGTCACCACATTTGCCAGTGTACTTAAATCTCCTTGACATGCTTCTACCTAAGGGAGAAGAACAGCTTTTAATTCTCAGTTAATTGGCACCAGTTAACCTGCAAGAGAAGAGCCTAACTTTCACATAAATGAAGAACAGAACATATGCAGAGATATATCTGTAAGAAACCTCTTTTCAGTACATGAATAACCACAATAAAGCAATTAGACACTGCACTGCATCTAAAATATATTTTGACATTTAATTGTAAAAGTAATAGTGGTCTATTTCTTTCAGAAAGAGTACTACTGATGGTAAGCAAGTGCCAAAAGAAGATTTCATATCTCTACACACTAGTCCATCACCAGGAATATAAAATTGCTCTAGATTATATTTTTAGTATCTTCCTTCCCCATGTAAATGAGTCAGTAGTAATAGAGCAAAAGAGCATCTGAGAAGAAGGAATGCATGAAAAGTCACCTTTATAAGCAAGCAGAAAAATAATTCTGCTGTAGCCTTTTGGTGTTTATGTCTTTATTTTACTGCAAAGGAAAAAAGGGATTCAGTAGTGGCTAGCAGCTCACATAGGCAATAAGGCGTGACCCACTCTGTCCCAGAAAAAAAAAAAAAGTACTTTATTACAGACAAGTATGCTGCTGCTAACACCAGACAGAGCAAGCAAAGCAAAATGCATGAAAACAATATAAGGTTGTTGTCAGTCACTCCTCACACGGGGCACCATTTGTTGTCATCCGTCCCTAAAACAAGGCACCAATTTGACTGTGGTCACATGACTGACACCAGCATCAGTCCCTTGTTATCTAAAAACTTCCCCTGATTGATGTAGGGCTCAAAAGACTAACACCAAAGATAGCAGCAAGCATCAGCAGTTTATTAAAGCCTTCATACTTTCTCTATGTTACAATCCCAAGAGCAGCACCTTGCAACACAGATGCCTCCCCCTCCCAGCATGACCTACTAGTTCCAACACCAGCACCTCTCTCCTCCTAACTCTTTATACCTTTTCTCTCACATGCATGATATCTACATGCCCTTCTACTCTTTTGCCATTGGTCACATCAGCATTTCACACCTCTCCTTCAATGCTGGTCACCTGTCTTACACAGCTGCAACTTAACAGGGGCAAGATTGCCAGCAGCACTAGCTCTATTCTCTTACAATCTATTCTCCCATGGGGTAATTTATTACCAGCTAGAAAAACATAAATGCTTCCTATTGTGCATATGTGTGGAAGTTATCACATGGCTTTGGTGGATCAGTAAGTGCAACAAAATGGAAACCAAGGAAACCAGCTCAGAAATAAAATTGTCAATGAGATAGGTCTTATCAAGCCTTGCCAAAAAGATAGTGATTAGGAGGAAAAAATCCAACAATATTTACACATGGCACTGTGATAGTGCCATGAGAAGTTTTGTGAGCACCTCATTTTATTTGTACAAAAGAGCAAGCCCAGTATCAGAATTATCCCAAACCAAAAAATTAAAATAATACAGCCCTTCAGGCTCACTAAAAATGCGAAGGAAAGGCATTTGTAAAGAGAAGGCATTTGTAACACTGGTGAATGTTGTAAAGCAGTATTTTGAAAATTAATTTAACCAAATAGAACACCCTTCTCTCCTTACATATACAATTACATCAATTTGCTCTACTTACTGTATCAGTCATATCATCACATACCTGATCTGGAGTCATCAGCACAGTAGGCTCACTTTTTATTGCAGATGGATGAATGTTAACAAACATTCCTGATTCCAGCAAACCTGGTGATCTGACAGAAAACAGCACAAGTTTTAATCCTGATTTTAAAATTTTTTAATTTTAAAATTGAATTTTCCTTTTTCAGAAGACAGAGAGAGCCACTTCTGAATACAATTTGCATACCTTGCTGTTTCATTGTCTGTTACAAAAGTTGGGGTTGCAGCTAATGGACTACGAAGATCTTTCCGAATGTAGATCTTTTCTGTAGAAGCTGCACAGTTAGAAGATTTTTCTCTTGACACTTCAATAGGTTTCCTCTCACACTGTACAGCTACAGAAATAATACCCAACTATTAAATCACACCCTGAATTACAGAATAAGAAATAATACTTTTTAAAATTATTATTTGATTTTAATAATTCTGAAAATAACTAAAATATATATAAAATATATCCCATAACCAACAAACTAACAAGCTGGATAAAAACCAGCACACTGACTTAATGAGTTCTAAATGAAATGATGCAGTAGTCAAAGTCTGAGATCAAACATATATAAGATTTTTAAGTTACAATTCAGAGAGACATCCCTTCATTTTTAATTTGAATTAAAGTAGAAGCTTAAATCTTCTCACTCTCTGAGCTACACTATCTCACACTCTTACTTCTTTTATAAAGGACTCATGGTATGTTTTTCCATGGATTGTGGGCCTGTGTTGAACACGTGTAACCTCAGTCATTTAAAGAAGCTTCTCAAGTTAGGACCTCAGACAGTACATGGGAAAAATGACATGCACAAAGTTCAGTTCAGACCATTTAAGATTAATCTGGGCAACACCCTGACCCACAGTCACTGACTTCAGAGAAGAAGTGGATTTTTAATTTGAATGACTCAATGAAACAAAAGGTGGAATGAATCCAGGCTTTACCTACAGATATATCACCTTGCTTTGAACATTAAAATTAAACTTACAGTATCATCCCCTATGGGAAAAATGTGGAAATGTGAAAAATGTGCCATTTCAGATAAAGAAATTAAAAACTTTTCAAGACAGCAGTAGACTGTGATGCTATTGAAATTTTTACACTGATAAATATCTTAAACCTCAAATGTTGTAATATTAAGTATCACCAATGCTGTTGAAGTCAGCCTGCAACCCACAAATAGTGCTTTAAAGAGTGGGAGATGGAGGCAAGTATTTCATCTTCCTTTGCAAATGCTGTTCTCAGTAGCAGTGTCTCATTTGGCTGAGAAAAGACCAAGGCTTCATCAAGAGACAAATAACCCTCACTGAGGGAGCTACAGTCCAAGAGTCCTAAGTTTTCTTTCCCCTTACCACTGAGGAATGAGAATATTAACTTCTTATCACCAAACAATCCTCTCCCTTGTTCAGTGTTCCCCCATGGCCCAGAGATTATTTTCCTGCCGTCCGATCCCTAAGCCCAGTGATTTTGTTCTGCTTAAAAAGTCTTCAGTGGAAGGGCCTTTTCTTACTTACTGCCAGCTGAACTAGAGGGTAAAGATCCACTTTCACTGCCCCAGCTTTTCCTCCCTTTCTGAATTAATTTCCTCTGTGTTACTGATTTCTGCTGACAGAAGCAGGGCTGTAAGGAGGAAAATGTCCACAGAGGTTCAAGAGGGTCAGTAAAAGAAGCGCAGGATGACAGAGAGCAGACAACAAGACCAATACTGTATGTACTGCAACAGCATCACAGTATTAGGTCAGAAGAATTTGTGTTTTGTGTCATTTTCTGTGTATTTAGTATTCTGATACTGCAATACCACTACATCAAATGTATGGAAAGCTAAAAAGCAACCTGGAATCTGCAGGAATTGGAAAGAACTGAACTTTAGATCACTATAGATCTATGCCTTGTGAATAACAAAGCTCTGAAGAGCTTTGCCAAAAGTGAACAACAACTGCCAGTAATCTCAGCTATGGAAAAACTGAAAAGAAGGTAGAGTTCAAGAAGTTCAGTAGCTTAATTTACCCATAAAGAAGTTGAACTGCACCAGAAAAAATGCAGACATGTTTGATATTTGCCATATAGGAGTAACAATTCATTCACTTTCATCACATGGAATGGAGCTTATTAAGCTTTTAAAGCAAACACCTGAAAGCATTTAATATTTCTGATACACCAAACTTTACAATTCTTTAAAAGAAAGATACAATGACTTAAAAGCATGTAACCAAGGCAACAATTTGTATCTATATAAAGCATATCTTTTGTAGCACAAAGTAGCTGCCAGGTAAAGCAGTTTGCTCTTATTCAGACTTACAATCTTGTTTCATCCCAAAGGCGATGCATCTCTGCAGCCTACAATACTGACAGCGATTCCGGTGGTGTTTGTTTATGACACAGTCTTTTGTTCCTCGGCAGGAATAAACTAAATTTTTACGTATACTCCTTTTAAAGAATCCTTTGCATCCCTCACAGGTTACTGCTCCATAATGACGCCCTAGTTATAAAATAATAGAAAATGTGACATTAATTTTACAGTGTAATATTATTTTTCAGACTTTACATTTGTTGAAAACAAAGTATTAGCTATTTTACCCAGAAAAGGAACACTTGTTTTTCCCCATGGGTTACATATCTTAAAATACAGTAGTGTTAAAAAGACTAGAAAACATTAGTAAGAACTCAGCAAAAAATATTTTAGTTTATAGATTTCTTTAGTAATTTTACCTACAGACAAGCCCCGCGATTGCTCATTACAAGTTCAGCTGTAGAAATTGTATGCATTAAATCAAAAGGAATCATGGAAAGTGCAAACATGGCATTTGACAGCATGAGGCAATCACTTCAAAGCTTTACTTTCAACTTTCATTTTCCTAACACATAGCTCTTGCAGTAAAACACCAATGAAAGAATAATCTAGAACAACTACGACTCTTTTTTTTGAAGACCAGTTCTGCAAGTTTAATGTATAATATAAAAATTTCTAAGATACACTACAAAAAGTAACTTTTAAAATTATTTTTAGAAGCAAATTATTTTGATTTTGCATAAAATCTAAACATTACTAAAAATAATTGATGAAGGCATGCTTGGCAGTTAGTTACAACAACAAATCCTTGAAATACCTATGGCCCATTACAAAATAAATAACAAATATGACCTGATTTAGGAGAAACAACACTTTTAGATTCTTTCCTGAAGTTTCTAGAAATTCTGACAGGCTTTCTAGATTCCTTTAGCACAACCTTTTTACCACTACTAAAATGTGAAATTTCAGAAGCATTGTATGTATTAAAAGAATAATGTCTGAAACATTTTAGTTGCTGCTCAATTATGAATATTCATTCTGCAATGTACCACGTCTCCTTCTTCACCTACTCTTTTGATGTAGTTTCTTTGATTCCAGCTTGCAAGTGTCTGCAAAGCAGTTTTCATGACAGTTTTTGTCACATGGGAGGTTCCCCAAAACCTGCAGCTACTCAAAGGAACCCAGCACTCTCCCCAAAGTCATTACCACTGCCCAATATTCCAAGGCCAGCACAAGAGGAAAACCACCTTGGATCTCCAGTCCCTCACAGGACTCCAGCCCGCCTCTGAGAGTCAGGAGAGTTTTAACAATTAGAACATACCAGTCAGATCTCTGCCTTAAGTTTGTAAGAAATTGCTCTAGCAACTGTATTTTTTATATTAAACTTTGCCAAGTTTTTAGGGAAAAAAAAATTATACATTTTACTTTCTAGCAAGTTTGCCCCCTGCTGAAAGGAGACCTCATAGTGGTCTGCAAGTTCCTCACAAGGGGAAATGGATGAGCACTGATCTACTTCCTCTGCTGCCAGTACCCAAGGGAATGGCATGAAGTCGGTCAGGGAGATTTTAGGTTAGACGTTAGGAAAAAGGTTTTTCACCCAGAGGGTGGCTGGGCACTGGCACAGTCTCCACAGGGAAGTGGTCACCAGCCTGACAGAGCTCAGGAAGCATTTGGACCACACTCTCAGGCACAGGGTGTGACTCCTAGGGTGTCCTGTGCAGGGCCACGAACTGGACTTCACTGATCCTTGTGGGTCCCTTCCAACTCAGGATATCCTATGATTCTATGTAAAACAACAATAAATTTTATCTATGGATACTAGAGTACCATTTAGTGAAATTCTCCACTGCATGTACAGAAATTTATACATGTATATGCATGCAAACTGTTACACATCTTCAGAAGAATTGTAAACTGCTTTTATAAAATTGTACCACCTTAAAAAAAAAAGAAAGAAAAAAATAAATACCTGATGCTTTGTCTCCACATACAACACACAGATCAAACACTTTATTTAGACCCTGTTCATTGGGGGAGTTGTCTGTTAAAATCTGAAAAAAAAGTGGAAAAGCATTTAATTTTACTTTTTCTTACCATCCAGAAATAGCAAAATGTATCTCGTGCTTGTGGCTTTTGTCTAAGGGGACTAAATCTACAAAGTATCATGTTTCCTTGATGACATGTAATGGTCTTCAGAGACACAAAGTTGATACCTGCCATGCCACTGTGCTCCCTTTCAGAAGGGAACAAGAGTTTTACTTGTAATGCTTTTGAGAAGAATTCAAGATTTCATTTCTCTAAATACTGCTTCTGCAAAATGGACTGACATCTTGAAAAACTTTAAGCATCTGCATACCCTTACCTTTTGCTCAATTTTATATTTATATACCAATGGCTCACCCACAGTAAAAAAGAGACAGAAGCACTAAACAGATGGAACAAAAAAAAAATCCCTTGTAAAGACTACTAGATCTACAAAGTTTATTAACTCATTTTTTTATAATACACATAAATATGGAACAAAAGAAAATGTACTCTGGACACTACCATTAACTTCCAACTGGTATAGAGCTTGGCTTTCATTAACAGCTAGATATTATTAAAGTATTCTTGTCTTGTCTCTTTCATTTATCTCTGGTACCTGAAAAGCTTTGTTAGGCACATCATTTTAGAATCCCAGTACTACAGGGAAGGCACAGAACATTTCACTTAATCTTTGAAAACTATCCCACCACATCATAAATAAAGCACAGCAAAAACTCCATTTAAAAAAGGAACACACAAATCACAAGTAACAACCAAACATCATCTTGACATAGAAAAAAAAAATATTCTTCTCATTAAAAAGAGAATATAGTTTAGATGCTTGAAGAGTTTTTAACTTCTACTGTGCCATAAAGGGAAGCCAGACTCTTCATCCTTGCTTCACATATTCAGAATGGGACCTCTGATAAAAAGAGAAGTAACTGAAACAGAAAGTGCTCTCCCTTCCACAGAGAAAATTTAGAAATTGTGCTTTTTAGAGTTTGGAACATAATACAGATGATATATGTAGGAAAGTTTAACAAGCATACTTCTTTCTAGTTAACACTCTTAACGATACTGTCTCTGAGATTCATCTCCTATGTTTTCTTTAAAAAAACAGCAACTTTTTAAGAAAAACAAGATGATGAGTTAAGAGAATATTAACTTTTTGATCCTTCCAAATTTCCAGTATTAATGTTATGTATTTTCATGATATAAAATATATACAAATAAATTCTAAGTCCTTCCATAAATTAAAGCTGCACTGACATGGGAAGTTCCACATGAAGAAGGACTACAGAATTGGCCCATGAGGAGATTAAAACCCCAGACTCAGACTTGAACATGACCTTGAACATGAAGAATAAAAATTGATTATTAATATGAAGAAGAGCCACTGAAGTTAAAATAGATGATGGGAGAAAGGGTCTTGCCAAATGAGTCAATGTAAAGATAAGATGCAATAACAGAGACGTTTTTGTCAGAACAAAACAAATGGGCATTTCAAATGAAGGCTACAGAAGAAGAAAAGAACAGTGAAATTGCAGATGGAAAGATCATTTGAGGGAGAAAATACAAAAGATCCCAAGGGGATGCAGATGAACAACAAATGAATGGTACTCTGTATTTCATGAACTTTTAAATGGACAAAGGAAATCTCTACCCATACATATCAGCAGACAACAGAACAATTTAACTAGAGTGACAGAATACTCTGTTGCCTCTCAAACTGACCTATTTTGCCCAAATGATACAATCAGAACTAGAGTTTTCAATTTTTTTGTACAGATTTCCTCTTTTATTGAATTTTTCCTTTTAAACCAGTGTGGCACACTGCTCATCTCTTAAGTTGTCTTTGAAAATAATTTTTATGTGGACTACTCATATTCCACCAGTTTATATTTTTGTTGTGGCTTACCTAAAATACAAAGTGTATGGTAGCATTAAACATGCTTCAATGCCTCTCAAGAGAACTGCCTTTTGCTACTGGTCCTCTATTCACAGTAATCAAATTTTTGGAGCAAGTACCTAGGATGTCCACTCTCAAAGAACTGTGAGTTTCAAAACCAGAAGTATTATATAATGAAGAGATTCTTTCAAGCTTACATAACGTGTGGGTAGTCAATCAGTGAACTGGTTCACAGAAGAGCACAAACTAAACAGTTAAAGGGTCTGCAACTGAAAAGAGACTGCTTGAAAGAGGATTTTGGAGTGATTTATAAACCCCCACACAAATCCTTAATAGTATCTTATAGTGCAAGAGACACCTAATTAAATACTTCTCCCAGATGGTGAAATCATCTAACATATTTCTTGTACACCATACAATACTATTGGATATTATACAGACTAAAGCTTACATGGTCTATATAAATAACAATAAAAGGTTGTTTAATATCAGCTATCAAATATGATGCTCTTATTGCAGCCTTCAAATCAGCAGGCTGCTCTGTATCATTAGCTAAAAGGATATGCTCAGAAAGATCATTCTTTACTTGGCCATCTTTTAATATTTTTCCTTAAGCAGCTGTTTTTGGTCATAATGTTTAAGCTTTTGATACTAGACTAAATAGACTGCAGCTATCTGAATGTTGTCTGGCCTACCACTGATGTATTTTAACAGAAGCATAAATGTGTGTGGCTGAATTATATGCAGTAATTGTACTTTAGCTGGAGTGCAGTAACCTACTTCATGCTGAAGGAGGTCACATCTCCCAACTCTTCTTGCATGTTTTTTACATTCTTCACATCAGTGCCATCCCATCCTGGCCAGGCTAAGGATGTGGGACAGAAAGCTTGGAAGTTGCAGGGTGGCAACTAAGGAAGCTGCACATATAACATGCATGGGAGTAAGGTGCACTGGGGACCTTAGTTTAGGGAGTTACAACCCTGGCTAGTTACAATATTACATTTGTAAACCCAAAATCATTAATGTTATTTTCTCACCCCCATGGAGTAATATATGTCCCTATTAAATAGTCTGAGCACTGCTGTGGACTACAATTCACACAGCTGAACAGCAGTTGCTACAGTGTACAAAAAGGGAAATGAGCCAAAGGACAGCAAAGAAGGACAATGGAGAAAAGTGAATATTTCTCAACAATACATGAAAACAGATGGAGAATTAAGGAGCAGAAATAAAGGACTGTTGGCATGGCAGAATCTGGAAATGACAATAAAAATAACTGTATTCTTCCTAATGTCATGAGCCAACACAGACATTTTAAAATTAAGAAATTTACTAAAAAAAGCTTTCTCATAATTTTTAAGTATCCACAATGAGTTGTAGTGCAAGGAAAATTATACTTTAAAAAAAATAGAAAAGGAGAACCCAGACAGACTTATTTGGAAATAAAACATCTTTTCTTATCCCATTTGAATGAAAAATATGAAACAAAGTGGATTATCTACCTGGATGTGTTGTGCAGATATATCAGGGGATGCAAAAAACAGTTGGTTGACACCTGCAGCATCTGGAGTTGCTAGGATAACTTTTCCTGGAGTGGAATCTTGTCTGGCAAGGATCACCTTGCTTGGGGTAGAGCCATCATGATTTGTTAAGATGAACTGCTTGCCTGCTGAGCTCTGATCAAGTGCTGTAACAATCTGAATCTTCTGGCCCGTCTGCTGATCTGTGACAATCTAATAATACATTTATCTCAAATTGTTATGGTGATTTAAGTTAACTTTTTGGACCCAATCCGGGCACTTGAAGGAAATGGGAACTTTGCCTTTCACATTTGAGAAGCAGGATCATCTTCCCCTCTGTCACACAAGAGCGAATTACACTCAGGCGAAAACTTGGATTTTCACTGTATTTGAAACACATTTCAATCAGGGGTGCTTGAAGTCAAAACCTGAGTTCGTACTCAATTTTTACAACTGGCACATGCTTTTACAACACTACTGAAATTCTTGACAATTCTAACATCAGAACTCAAGGCATGTCTGTAGCTAAACCCTAAAACCCATCAGGTTATAAGAAAACTTAAATCTCGAATTCACTGCATTCTACATGAAGTGTTTGCAGCACCTCCAAGGTTTGGTTACTTAACAAAAAACCTCTTCAAACCACAAACATAGATGTCCAAGTGAAAAAAATAAACAGCAAACAGCAGGAAAAGCAATTATACTGTTGCACCTGTGTATACATTTTAGACTTCATTTTGTGGGGACCTATTTTACATATACGTTTCTAAATAAAGTAAATGAAACAGAATTTCTTTCCCTGCCTTTTTTTCTTTTCTTTTTTTTTTTAAGGAAAAACTGATTTTTGTTTTATAATCAAGAACAGATCTACAGGGTTTTTTTCCATTTTGTTCCTATTTTCAAGCACAAACACAGCAGAATTTTATTAAATAATCCTCCATGTTCTGCCAACTTCATCAAAAGATTATAATCCTCAGAGAAAATAATCAAGATTCTATATATATATTCCATTATAAATCTCAGTTTTAGTCACTTTTCTCCATCAAAATGCCTATATGGAAAACTGCCTGTTTTTTTCTGGAGACTAAGGAGAATTACCCTACAAAGACTGTTTCCTGCAAATCATTTTGAATTACAGATCAATAAAATAGCTCCTAATAATTTTTTTTTTAAACTACAGACAAACATTTATGTTTATTGACACATCCCCAACATTTATATTACAGATATGAATTTTATTTTTATTACGGAGGACATTTATTTCATTTTATAATACTTACCATAACTAGTTCCATGTAATCTGGTTGCCAATATGAATTATATTTCCTAGGTGGAGAACCATGGCACAAAGAAACTGAACTAGTTGTAAATTTCACAAGAGCTTTTTATGAGCTTTGCTATTGTACCTTCACAATATGCTTATTACTTTCTCTAAATGCTTAGTATCTGTGTATAGCCTACATTTTAAAAATATAAGCAGTGATGAGTATCCAATTTCAGCAGTTATAATGCATAATATATATAATATTATATATAATATTTATATTATAAAATATAATATTGCCACTTTCAAATATTCAGAAATCATGAATTTCAATACACAAAATGAATGTGCTTCCTTCCAGTGGCCTTGTGTTTTTAACATTATAATGGACCAAATTTAAATCTTTTTCTCAGCAAAATATGATTAAAAGTATATCTAAGAGAAGTAAAGGTAAAATGATAAAATTCTAAATGCTAGAAACCAAAAATTATCATGGGATTTGGGGTATAAGTAGCTGATATTCTATTCCCCTTCCTTCCAAACATCTATTTAACTGGGATTAAGAGAAATCCAATGTACATTATGCTCAACAGGGTGCATAAATATACAAAAGCCAACAGAACACTGTGCTGTTTTCTGAATTTCCAGACCTGCTCTTTGAAAGACACTCTTAGCTAAAATCTGTCTCCCTATCAAATTTTAAAAGCACAACTATATGTACCGTAAAAAAGGTGTATACTCCATCTAGTTAGGTTTATACAAAGTATATTCAAAAACCAGCATGTCCCAAACAGTAAAGACACAAACTTGAACTACAGCTGAAATTATTTTTGGGACATACATACTAAGTTATCTTTTTCCTATTGTAGCCCAATTGTGTAATTAAAGAAATACATGAACTTGTAGATAAATATGGCAGAGAGAGTAGGCAGAAGAACCACTGCTACTGCACCCAATTCACTTCACCTATTTAATGGAGTCAAATCTTCAAATGGGTTCCTGCAACTCTAGGAGGATGCCCAGGTAGCTTTCACTATATGATATAGCAAGTATAATGTTACATTAATATTATTATAAAGCTATTCAACCTGCTCAAGTGATTTCTGCAACAACTGACAGAGGCATGAGAGCAGTTTAAACAATTAAGCAGGTTCTGTCTGCAGCTGACCTCCTATGGCCACGCACCTGCAAAACCTCCACCTACATTTCAATGGGGACACTGAAAAGTGGAGCAGTTCACCACAGTACAACTTGCAATACCTAAACGTCAAAGTAAGAGAAAAAAATAATCAGAGGGAAAAGGAAAACCATTTATCTTCTGACTACAAATGCACCACGAATCAGTGACAACACATTATCTTCCTTAATAATCTGAAACTCAATATTGCTAAATTCAGGACTGACTGCACAAAAAATACCCTACCCCCATGTATTTCATTTAAGCATCCTGATGATAACAGAAGATATTATTTTCTTCTATTGCTTTTAAGCCTTGTCTGTTAACAAGTTTTGATCTCCATTTGAACATCATTTCAATAAATTAAACAGCTCAGTGTGTTCCTATTTTACAAAAAAGAAAATGTCTAAACACAGACAACTAATACACCTGTTTATAACCAATTTATAGCCAATTTTGTGCAGAAATGCCTGTTGAACAAATATAACATTCAACTTTTCTCCCAGAAGAAATGCTAGTATTCCCTAAGAAGAGTGACTAATGAAATATGCTTTAAAGAACCTTTTACTGAGGATTTTCTACTTCAGTGTTTCAGATAATTAGGTGCATTTAATAATAATAAAGGAAAAAAAATTAACTGAAAATATATACTCAAAATTATTCAGTGTAACATTTATGGTGGACAGTTCACTGAGATGCATTTATTTGTACAAACTACTTTGCTCTTCACATAAATTCTCCGTTGAGCAAAGTTTTTACTACTAAGTTTGATACTACTGATGTTTGTAGATGTCTCTTGCAGGAAGGGTGAATGTTTTGAGTGAGTGTTGTTCCACACGTATCAAGAAACAATAACCAAAGCATTTATAGTCCTTTCTGAAGACAGAATGGTGGTTAATTGATGAGCACAAATTAATTAGTTAAAAGTACAGCTGTACATGAAGTGTAGAAATGGAGTTGAGGTAGCTGAAAGAATGAAGACCTACTGGATTTGTAAGACAGACACCATGACTAGAGCACAGGTGGGAGGTAATAAATCTAAAAAACCCCATCATGTATGGGGGGTGGTTGTGAAGAGCCTTGGAAGGTTGAAAGCTTGAACAGAATGCACCAAAACAGGAAAAAGCAGAGGACAATGTTTCAGAGCGAAGCTGGTAAAAGAAAAAGCAGCCAAGATTATAGTAGCAGCTGTCTCACTTAAATGTGTGCTTTTGTAAGAGCAACATACGTCTGAGAATATTTTTTCCATTTATTCTGCAGTTGATATTTTTCCTCTACAATGAAAATTAAAAATAAAACTGACTTGCACTGACTTCTAAGGCATAAAATACAAAATTCCATTCTGCAAATCTTCTTAGTCTCCATATACACATTTCTATGTTGACTTAAGTACCTACATGGCCAGAAACTTCACTACCCTCACTTCAGCTGGAGGTTATTACTTGGCCAGCCTATGGATTACAATACCAAGACATGCAACATGGGTTAGGACAGCCAAAAACCAGTATTCTTCTCAGACATTAAGCTTCCTGCACTTTTTCATGACTTCAAAAATACATTTCACTCCCAGCTTCTGCTCCAAAATGTAAAAATTCTTCAACTTAGTTAAACTACGAAATCGACCAAATACTCAACTTTCAAGGAATAGCCTCACTTGTAAAAAGTATTTTTCTGTTCAGTGATTTAGGGTTTTTGTAATGTTAGAATTCTTAAAAAGGAAAAAAAAAGGGAAAAAAAGACAGGAAATACTAGAATGATGTTTTATTCCTGTTTATACAGAAAGGGTCTCTGCCATCCAGGACCAAATATTTACATTAAAGCAAGTAACATGATGAAAACAAAGAAGAACTGCATGTGAAAACTGGAAGAAGCAAATAGTTCATCTCTGTTTTTAAAATGCATCAGATGAAGCATACCTGTATACGCTGTGATAAAGAGAGGCCTGAATCTGCAGGGACAATCTGTATTCGTTGTGGTGTCCCATCCATTAGTGTTTGTGTACCACCTTCCTGGGAATGTGTAACCTAGAAAGAAGAAACAAATGTAATGGACTGACAACAGATGTACTATTCTAATGGATCCACTACCTTAATGGATTAAACCTTAAGGTTTCATCAACTTCTAATTTCTCTAAACAAGGCCACAGAAAGTCTGACATTTATTTTATAAAAAATGTGAATGCTTGAATCTAATTCAACACCTTAATTTTTCCTGATTTAAACCCATTTGGAAATACCTTCCAATGTGAAATTTACAAATACTTTAAGTAAAGCAATTAATTGTTGACAAGTCCATGTATGTCAATCAAACTGAACATTTAGTATTGTTGATATTCATGAGACAAAATACCCATCATCATAGCTGTGCTGTGTTTGCAATAAATGTAATTTAATGGCTCACTTGAATTGACAGAAGGTTTTTTTGTATGGAAATACAGCAATTGTCAGTTTCAATTCTGTTTTTCTGTTAAAGAATTCTATGCTGGAGAACTATTAACAAAGATAGGGGAAACTAATAAATTGTGTGAAGTCTGCAAACAGTATATCTTGTATTAAAATCTCTGCATGAATGCTCTCAGACACAATTCATGGAAGTGTTTTAACAATTATCAATATTTTAAAAATTCTTCACACTCTACAGCCAATGGCATGTAAGGTATTACTCTTTACTTTATCTGTCAGTAAAAATTAAGGATAGCTGCTATTTTTAGAGGGATCACAAAGGTCAGATTTTTTGCAGTACAAAGAGAAGTTGTCTTCACAGAGTTTACAGACACCTTCAAATTGAAATTTTTATCTTAAATTCCCAGGTAACTCCAAAATCTTTTTGCTATTCACAAAACTGCCTGCAACATCCTGCAAATCTGTATTACCAATAATTCTCAGTATTTACACCATTATACAAATATTCCTCTACACCTGACTGCCCCTCTGCCCCTCCCAATTAATATAGAGAATATATATGTCTACTGCAGTAAAGGTACTCTTTCATAATAGTTAGCAAAGGCTTTTTGTTCCTCCTGGATCAGCTTCCTGATTTTGCAATCATAACATCATCTAAATGCTAGTACCAGCAGACAAAAGCAGGCCAGAACATGCAGCTGGAGGTCAGTATGAGAGGAGGATGGGGTAGAGGGTAAGACTTCCCCTGGCAGCAGAAATACAAGCTCCCATCAGCCTACGTTGATTTTGAAGCTTTGCCCAAAAAGGTCTTACTTTTGGTTGCAGACTCATAATTTACTTGCTCCTCTCCCCTCAGTGTGGCAGGTAAAACTGGCTCATTAGTCATTCCATGATCTGGAACAGGACACCAGTGCAAGCTGAAAAGCAGCCCAGCAAACAAAGGCTATTCTTAGCACAGATCAAACCTTCAATCCAGTCTCCACAATGCTCAGAAGCAGATGTATCAGAGCAAGTAAGTGAGGCTAAGCTGCTGGGGTGACTGCTTAAGCTGCCAGCACCACCAAAAGAAATGCTTGTCAAACTACTGCCCAAGCCATTTCTGGACACTGCTTTCTAAAAATACCCGATTTTTCTGAGTATAAGTACTTTTAAACAATTCATCCACTTCTTTGCTTAAGTAAAGGACAAAAAACTACTCATTACCCAGCAGCATTTTCCTTTCAAGAGAGGTACTTTGAAGCACTGAAGTTCTGCATCAGCCACTCAAATCAACAGGTACACGTGGTGATTCAGAAGTGGTTAAAGTTTTATGTGCATTTACCTTTGTTTTACAAAATAAGCTACATATTATAGAACTGATTGACATTTGCTCCCTTAAAATGTCATGATCCACATGCTGTGTAAGGTAAAACTGCTTTTTAGCCCCACAAAATGTCAGCTTGACACTTTTACATTTATGCAGAATTCAAGTTTTTTTATACTGCAGTTAATATTGATACAAGTAACTGCAAAATTTGTTATAAATTGTGCTTTTTATGTGTGTGACAGACTGTTTCAACAACTATGTAGCTTTCCCCTGTTACAGTAAACTTGGCAGGATTGTGGAAATGAACCGCCATATACTTAGTGTACCCAGCCACAGATTAAAGAAAGAAAAATGCTGCAGGCTCTCTCTGAGTCAGGTAGCTTCCCTACATGAATCAAGAAATATGGTCTTGATGTAGAAACAGGAATTATCTCGCACTGAGCAAAAGATGACTAGCTGATGGCAGAATCTAAGCAATGACAATCACTGCACAATGCCCCATATAGACAGGGTTATATTTTGCTTCAATGTTTTGCTTTCATGCAAAAAGTCATAAATTAACAAAAGCATGTTTGTGAACACCATTGTGAAACTGTTGTCACAATTTTGTGATTTAAAATGCTTCATGAACAACAATTATAATAAAAAAATCAAAATCTATGCACAAAACACTTCTCACCATTATTTCAATGAGACACAGAAGCATTTCCATTCTCCTCAATATTGGAACACCATTTCCTTTCAGTTTCTTCTCTCGTAAGTTTTTTTTTGTAAATTCAATTAAAACTACTTCAACATTCAAGAGAATTATAAATGCTAGCAAAAATACTGCTAAAGTTCTCTAGATCTTAAACTATGATTTTTCAGTGCTTAGTGATTAGGAATGCCACCAAGCAATTACAGCCTGTAGGTAGGCAGGAATATAAGTTATTGCATGGAGGTCCCTGTGAGACTGCTTTCCTTGCTGATTCCACCTTTCAGACAGCACATTCATGCATGGTATGCACCTCTGACAATAATTTTGGCTTAAGGAGTCCCAGCTTGCACTGCCCTCAGGGGTGCCTTTCAGTCCTTCCAACCATGCGCCTGGCTGGGCCGCACCTTGTACGAAATAAGGACACTGATCACAACCAACACAGAGATGACCTTCATCCACTATGCTGTAATTAAATTTTTTCCTTAGTTTTGTCCACCAGATGATGACACACAGAGCTTACTAGCAAGACTAGCATTGCATGAGAAGAAGCAGTTAAGTGAGGACTGGGGAACAGTTAAGCTGCACTGCTGCCAAATATGGTGTGACCATCTCAGACATGGTAAAACCTTGCTAAAGGACAAATCCTTATCTACACTGCTGACAAAACAACAGCCATGGAAACTGTAGAACTGTGATTTCACCACAAACAGGAACAGCTACAGCTCTCTGCAGCACTGCACTTTCACTCTGTTTTCTCCCCTGCCTTCCTTTGGCTACCAGCCATCTTCTTTGTGCTGGCTCTGGTAGACATTGGAGCCTTCTCAGACCCTACTCTATGCTAACCCAGCAGAAAACCTTCCACTTGTTATTAGCTTGCTGTTGGTGGGGAAATTAGTAAGGAAAGAAACAGAAAAAGGTCCCTGTCTTTCACATCATACTAAGTCAGCTCAGTGTCTCCTGGAATCACCTCATGAAATTGAGAAACAACCCCCACAGAGGCTAAACACCATCATCACACCATCCTGAGTGGAACATACACTTCAGCTAGCTTTGACTAGCCTTGTACTGTAAAAAATAAATAAATTTAAATGAGAAATACAGCCCTATTTAGACTTCAACAAAGAATTATAGGCCCAAAACCAAAACTGCATTAAACACAAGTTCTCACCTAATGAAGAAGACAAGTAACAAAAAGAAAACATCATACATCCCATAAACCCGTTTATGTCCTTTTGAGATAGTCTTAGCAACACTCAGATGCTACAAAAATAAAAGCTGTGAGAGTTTATTCAGAGTAGAATTAACCATCCCATTCCCCACCCCATCCTTTCCATCTGAAATCAAGGCTGAGAAGAAATAAAATTGCTTATGAAGTCTATGTCTAGACAAGAATCCTAGAGTGGATATTTTAAGCTAAAAAAATAACATTTATCTAAGATAAATAAATTACTGCCTCTATCTAATTTAAAGTGGTGCTAATTTTAAATAGTCTATGCTATACTGACACTTTCTAGATAACTATGTATACTCATCCACACTCAAACTGTGCATCTCTGGCAGTTCTCTGGCTGCAGTACACAGATTCTACACACAGGTCACAGAGAACCACAACTAGAAATCTGCAGAAATAGGAGCTCAGTCTTTCTTCTGACAAATAGCAAGCACATATTCACATGAAAGTGAAGAACATGGTAAAACTTTACTAGTGAAAAGAAATATGACAAATGAAGTAATAGCATAGTTGTAAAGTAAAAGCTGTGTCCTGACTTTTTTAACTAAAATTGAGTAAAGCAATTACACCAGATGGCTCTCTGAAAAACACTCCAGGCTCAAGACAGAAAACTGAAAAGCTAGTGACTTACTGGAAACACTGCTAGATTGTTCTTTATTTCTGTGGGGCAAATTTTGGCAAAAAAGGCTATGCAGGTAATTTCAAAATGGATATAGTAGGTTCTTCTGTCTTCTGAGGGAAGTGTCCAGAAGCCTTGTCTGTACCAAAAATTTTCTCTTGTGATTTTGGTTTTTATGTATCAGTCTGTGCATTCTACTATTCAATTTCTCTTAAATAGGACTCAAAATTTATGTACCTCTCCCATTTGCTGTTCAAAAATTTGATGGGCCAGTTCCTCTATGGTTGCCATGATCTTTAATCACCAGAATTTCCTGTCAAAGAAAGGAAAGAAGATGCTTAACATCTGTAGTTTTGAAAGTAAGAATATCCTGGGGAAAATATAGTTCACATAAGTGTGTTCACAATTTTATGAAGATGACATCCCTGCAGAATTTAAAGTTTGACTATACTATGAAAATAAATAATTTACTATTTGAAAACTTTGTATTGTTTTATTCAAATAACTCATACAGACACTTCCTATTTTTCCTCTTCTGCTTTTCCAACAAGCAACACTACAGTAAAATCACTGAGAACAGAAGCCTATTACTGACCATGATATCAGCAGGTACATATTTAATGTCTTAAAAAACTGGAATACGGACAGTTTTGTTAATGCAAATCAAGAGGGGCAAATCTAAGTTCTTCTGAATTTGCATAGTCATATAATATATGACTACATGAATTACATTAATTAATATATTCATATAATATTTTTTAGTATTAACAGGAGTGCTTGAAGGTCAATTTTGTAACTAACAGGAGGCAGTACTTAGAACACAGAGAGTGTTTAAAAAAAAAGATTGCTTCATTATCAATACTATAGCTACAGCCCAAGCCCAAATCCTCATAAGAAGAATTTTGTGCAGTTTAATGGACACTGTTACATTAATGCACTATAAGGGATTCAGATGCATGCGTCGTTTATTTGGCAAGGCATATATTATATTATTGATATACAAATATTTACTAGGCAGTACTTAAAAGGAACATTCACAAATTATAAAGCACTGTATAAACAATTTTACTGACAAAAGTGAATTAAAAACACTGCAATACCTACTTCTTGTATGAACAACGACAGTACTCTTATACTAATACTGGATTTCATTCTTTGACTTTTCTGGGAACTCCTAGGAATTATCTCTTCCTCAGTGAATCTCAAAACCTCCCCAATGAGGCATGCAAATAAAAAATTTAACTCACTTTTAACTCAAATTTAACTCAAGATAATTCTGCTCTTAAAATTGGAAAGACAAATCTTTTTTGACTAGAGAAAGAATTGCAGGTCTTGGAGGTGTGCCCAGTGGTATACTAAAGCCTAATTAATGTGTGAAAGGGGAAATACAAAAATACCTGGGCACTGTATACCATTATTAATCACTCACTAGCATGCTGCATTAATAGTTAAATTATGACAAAAGATAACAGGCATGTATGTAGAGATGTGATACTGCAGCTTATGCTGAAAAGCATTATCTCCTAGGAAGATCTAAGTCTGCATCCTTGCAGGAGCACTCTATTAGCCCACCTCTGCATCCAGTGAGCTACACCACAATCACTATTCAAAGAGCACTTGGAATTTTCAAGGCAGGCAATGTGTCTTATCAGTGTTTTCTTCTTTTAAATAAAATACTAGCAACAAAATATTGTACTGTTTACATGGTGAGTGCCAGAAATGCATGCTACTTCATTACAAGACAACAAAAAAAAACCCACTTTGAGGTATTAATTTGCACTAGATAGTCAGTTCTCCTAAATAAGATGTGACTGCCCTTACAGTCATGATGTATTAGTAAAACAATATTAGCTTGAAAACTGAAAGTGATTTAAACTGACATGTTTCACCTTGGAGTAAAGCAGTGAAGGAACACATATGTATTCAACTATGATGCACCAGTCGCAGGGAGTCGTTATGGCTCTCAGGCATAAACCACCAGCAGTGAATTTTTGAAACTTTTTATCTAAAAGAGACTCCTTTAAACTACACTTGCATGAACATAGACATCAAGTACACAAACAAGACTGAACTCATATGATGAAGAGGAACCTGGAGAAAAGGTTGAACCTCTCCTACCTCTTCATGCTGTCTGGAACAAGTACAAGGAGATTCAACTTATGGATGTATAATCAGCTGTCAAAGCTACACAAATCATCTGAGTTTGAGCATGTGAGGCAAGCACAATGGAAAAGGAATGTACTCACTATTATTGACAAGAATTTACATATTAATCACATGGTGGTTTAGATTTTGACACTTGCACTTTCAATTTGTGCAAACATTCAGAAGTAGGTTCTTTTGTGTGTTGTTGCTTTAACTCAGTGATCCCTAAACTGAAGGGCACTAACAAAACTAGTATTTGTAACACCAGTACTCTGTACTAAAATATCTTAATTGAATCACCTCCAATAAAGCACGCAACTTTGCTTTGAAGAGCATGTATAACAGTGAAAAAATTCACCTTCGATATTTCACATATAAACTTTAGGCAGCATTTCATGTTGCAGATCAGCTACAGATATGGATAACCGGAATAGGTGTTTCTATCCCATTTTCCATTTTTGGTTTCTAATTTCATCTCCTCATGTGCTGGCATACACATAATGCTTGAGAAGTCAGTTCAAGCAACTGAACTGTCAGAAACAACTTCTTTACTTGCAGAGAAAAGGAAATTTCAAAAGAAGTTTGAAGAGAATTTACAGCTCACCCCCAGGAAGGAGGTCCTGCTTGCCCTGACCAAGCTGCAGTGGTCTTGACCACACAGGAAAATTCAACTCACTAAAAGTAAACTCAGCTGGCAGAAATGCAGCAAACATCACCTAGGTAAGCACACTGAACTGATTTATTTTGCAGTCAGATTCATTCTGTTGCAGATGAAAGGGAGAACATGTCGTTGTACGTCAAGAGAGGGAGGAAAAGAAGGAAGATCTGAGGAGGCAAACCTCCATTCCATTATTATTGCTGGGAAGCTGATAATTCAGTTTAACTGCACCATGAAACAGTACCCACTGCTTTGGGCCCAGCCAGGTGCCTGATGCAGTTCACTCTGGAGCCAGACAAGCTTACAGCCACTTGAGCAAAGGTTACCTCTCTGAGGAGCAGCCATCTGGCAAGCTATGCATCTTGCTCTGAGGACAGAGGAGCAGGACACGTCGAGAAAAGCTATCTACAAATTCTCACCTACCTTTGGGACAACTGTAAAAGGTTTTATGGTTCATATTTTTATTAGAGTAAAAAGGTCTCTTACCTAGAATATCTGTGTTAGACTTCATATCAAGTATGCTTTATCACTCTTTAGACATTCCTGCAAGGAATTAAGGAGAAAAAAAAAACACTTCAGCTGTTTTTATTCTATTATGTAAATTTAGCACATTTTTCATGTTTTTGAAAGCTTCTTCTCCTGAATTACTACAGCCAACATTCTCAGTGGCTGAATTGTTTCACATGAAATGATAAATGTATTCTAAATTCAAAGCCACCTGGAACTGAGAAATCTTCCCTGAACACTTTATAACCTTCATTTCCCAGCAAAGAAAATTACTTGGGGGATGAAGGAAAGGCCACGGATGTTGTCTACCCAGAGTTCAGCAAAGTCTCTGACACCATCTCCCCCAGCATTCTCCTGGACAAATTGCAGCTCATGGCTTGAAGAGGGGAACCCTGCGTAGAAAACCAGCCACCTGGCTAGGCCCAGAATGGTGGGAAATGGGACTCCATCCAGTTGGTGGCTGGGCACCAGTGGTGTTCCCCAGGGCTCAGTACTGGGATCAGCCCTGTCTAATATCTTTATCCACGATCTGGATGAGGGGATCGAGGGCACCCTCGCTAGAGTTTGCAGATGATGCAAAGCTGGGCAGGAGTCCTGACCTGCTGGAAGGTAGGAAGGCTCTGGCAGAGGGATCTGCACAGGCTGGAACAATGGGCTGAGGCCCAGACCTGAAGGTGCTGGTCAACAGCAGCTCAACAGCAGCTGGTCAACACAAGCCAGTGTGTGCCCAGGTGGCCAAGAAAGCCAGTGGCATCCTGGCCTGGAACAGCAACAGTGTGGCCAGCAGGACCAGGGGAGGGATCGTCCCTCTGTACTCAGCACTGGTGAGGCCACACCTCAAATGCCATGTCCAGTTCTGGGCCCCTCACTGCAAGACAGGCACTGAGTTGCTGGGGGCAGTCCAGAGAAGGGCAATGGAGCTGGGGAAAGCTCTGGAGCTTAAGTCAGTGGATGAGCAGCTGCGGGAGGCGGTGGTGATCAGCCTGAAGAAAAGGAGGCACAGCAGAAAATTACTGCTCTCTACAAGCACCTGAAAGGAGCTGTAGCAGGGGAGGTTTACATTAGATACTAGAAAAAATTTCTTCACTGAAAGGGTAGTCAGGCATTGGCACAGACTGCCCAGGGAAGTGGTGGAATTGCCATCCCTGGAAGTGTTCAAAATGCATGTGTGTAGCACCAGGCTTAGTGGCAACCACGGGGGTGATGGGCTAACAGCTGGACTCAACCTCTTTACAATCTTAATGACTGTAAGTATCATCAGTCTGAGTTTTAATCTTCAATAAAGAGAAGTGATCTTCAAGGTGTTCTCATCTAACATAAATCTTCTTGATTTCAGAAATGCTCTTTTCCATGCTTATCAAAACCATGCCATGCACATTCAAAAGACACACAAGCCCATATATGAGAAATCTTTATTGCTAGTATAGGAAAGAAGTAGATGGAGTCTATTAATTGACAGGTTTTTCCTTAGAATACTCTCTTCTCCTTTCAAAATGAATGAGACAAATAACAATAAACCAAACTTTATTCAGATGCTTAAGACTGCTAATCACATTTTTATTTTCACATTTTATCTTCTAGGATCTGCTTTATAATGTCCAACAGTTAAAAAAACTCTAATATTAGTTATATGATGACTACAAGAGAGAAAGGAGAGACAAGGCTCTTGCCAACATTCTGTTGTTTACAAACACTGCCCAAATAGTTTTTACCTCATTTATATCTCACTTTGAATACTCTTGCAAAAATTATTTTCAACTGCTGCTGTTTCAAAGAGCAAGCCTATAGCCACTTATAACAAGTACTGCCCAACTGCTGTACTGGTTTCCCTTTTCCACATCAGACTAAGATCCTTGCCTTTACTTTTACCACAAAATTTCTGAAAAATTAAGTGGTAAGAAGCGCTTTGTCCCATGGCCATTTAGCCAAGACATTGTCACAACTTAAGCTCTCACTTCCTTCTACAACTTTCTGCAGATCTACCATTAAGATCTGACACACTGCAAAACTACAGAAAAACCAGTATTTCTAAAATTTTCCTTTAAAAAGATGTGTTGCTGACAACTATGTCAAATTAACAACATTAAGACTGTCAATACGATTAGACTGCTGCCTCTGCAAATGTACAACACATTCTAGCTTGGCAGCCTTGTATTCCCTTAGTCTGTGATGATCCTTTTGCATATTTTCTTATTTCTGGGAACAGGGGAAAATCTCCTTCTCAGAAGATACAAAGCACAGAAACGTTTTGCTTCTGTTGCTCTAGGTAGAGAGCAACACAAATGTCAGCATCTGTATTTACACTGATTAGACCTGCTTTACAAGGATAATCACTGAACTTGTTTTCAAATTTATTCCTTGAGTGTTTCACAGCATTACTTGCCATGTAATTAAATAAAAAATGAAGCTATTTCAAAAACATTTGAAAAAAAACACCAGAATTCTAAATCCATCCCTTTTCCTTACAAAAGCTCAATCCCCCCCCATCTACTAGAAGCAGCATTTAAAAGCAGGCATTTTGACAGAAGGCAAGCATTAGACTTCCTCTTAAATGCACTAAAATGCATTTATTGCTCTTCTGTTCCACCTTCAGACTCAAAATGCTACCAAAATCTTTTTGTCTGTAAGTTACATACGTTAATCTATGTCCCTAGTAAATGAATTAGTCAGCTTTCTTGACAAGACTCAGAATTATTTTTAAACACATCACTATCGTCAGTATAAACTGGCTGGTGGTGAATCTGGCATCACAAGTTAAGTGGCGTTCCACTGCTACTTTAGATAAGCACTCTGTAGGCTGCCATAGCAGTGGAAAACTTTCCCTAGTTTGCACCAATTAAACCCCTCCTCTCTACTTCTTCCTCAGCTTTTATGTGCCAGAGTTTTCTCAATGTTTTAGTCAAAACAACTTAAGAAATACTTCTTAAAGTATTTCAGCCTTACTTCAACTCAAATGGGTCAGGAAACATTCCCATGAGAACAGACAGCAATTTTGAAGGTTGGTAGACAGAAGCATTAACCTCTCCACTAGTACAGTTAAGTTATACCCAGAAGACATCACAGTTTAACTTACCCTTCTCCAGGGACAAAAGTTATACAACTTTAATTGTCCTAGTAGGAGGTTCCTATTAATAGTATTTTTAAATATCATACCAGGGTAGACTAAGGACTTTAAAAGTAGTTGCAGGAAGTATATTTCTTTATGTTTCAATGCTCAATTTGATATGACAACATCTCTCATTTTATTATATTAGACTGTTGGTATAGTTGCCCCACTATCAAGTGCCTTGATTCTGATGTAATATCCTTGAAATGAGTAAGAACAAACCACATCAGCATGAAGACTGTCAACTTAACTTTTTATTCTTTTATCAGCGTGCTGGTTTTGGCTGGGGGAAAGTTAATTTTCTTTGCAGTAGCGGATATGGGGCTGTGTTTTGAATTGGTCATGAACACAGGGCTGATAATACAGAGATGTTTTTATTTCTGAGCAGTGCTTGCACACAGCCAAGACCTTTTCTGCTTTTTGTGCTGCCAGACTAGTGAGGAAGCTGGAAGTACATGGGAGGTGGGTGGCAGATACAGCCAGGACAGAAAGGTATATTCTGCACCATATGACATCATGCTCAGTATATAAAAATGGAAACAGGAAGAAGGAGATGGAGTGATGGCATTTGTCTTCCCAAGGAACTGTTACACATGATAGGGCTCTGCCATCACATCAGATATTCAGCCAGCAACCTGCCCTGGAGATGGCTGAACACCAGCTTATCAGCTGGATACAATGAATTATTCCTTGTTTCAATTTGCTTGTCTGTGTGGCTTTTGCTTCCCCTCCTGAACTGTCTTTATCTCAACCCACGAGTTTTCCAACTTTTACCCTTCTGATTCTCTCCCCAGTCCCACTGGTGGGGGAGTGAGCAAGTGGCTGCCTTGGGTTAAACCACGACACACAATAAAGACAAACACAGGAAGGTCAACATGACCTTTTAAGAAAGCTCAAAAAGTTAATATAATAGAAAACTAAGTGCAAAAGAAGAAGAAATAATCTCTCTGTAGTCATAATGCTTCAGTACTGAAAGATTTCAATACAACTCAAAGTCAACTAAGGATTTTAGCTCAGGTCATCACATTGGGCTTACAGATATTCTGTACCTCAAAATGGAAAATAGTCCTCACTTCCATTATCAAACTAATCATCTACTAATTAAGAATTCAGCATAGTTTGTGTCAAAGTTGTTTAATAAACTCCTACACACGAAATAGAATGCACTTAACGATCCCTCTGTGATTAAACATGCCTGAGTTAGTGCTTAAATAAGTTAAGGAACCCCCCAAGATTTCTTTATACTTGAGATATATACTTGAGAGCAGTTTTCTGCAATGCTTTATAGATAATAAATTAAGCCAAGGAATTCAAACACATTTGTGAAACAAATGATGTTACTGTGCTCTGTGCTTCATACAGGAAAAGCTCAATGAACATGGCAAGCTAAATGAGCTATTCTTGGATTATTGTTCTATAAACCACACTGTTCAAGAGGGTAGGACAGCTGGCAGATTTAAAGGAGTAAGATTATCAATGAACAGAGGAATATTTATGTAACCCTTGACACCCAGTTAGATACTGTTTTTAAAATTCGCATGAGATCAAGATTTAGATAGTGCATATCTAAGAGACAAGTAACAACATGAAACTGAAGCAGCTGTATCTGCAGGCAAGCAAGGGAAAATGAGATGCTTGCAAAAGCATAAGAGAGCAATTAAAAGGCACAGAGAGATACAGAAAGAGATGCATCTGTAGGCATGCCTGTGCAATTAATTTAAAATCAGTGCTCTCACTATCCTTTCTTGTAAGCAAGTGCTACAATGGAAGGAAACATGAGAAAATAATCACTAGGATAAATTTTCAGGTGACTAACAAATCATTTTTACAGTTTGGGTCACCAAAAGGATAGTCCCATTTTTAGGCCTTGGCTTCTGCTTCTTTTATCATGGTATGTCTAGAACCTGCCCCACCAGCTACATGTGAGCTGACTTAGCTCACCAGTCCCATAACCAACTGGGAAAAGAAGGAGGAGGAAAGGCAAAGAGGCTGTCTGCAAGTGTAGTCTACTCACAGGAGCACTGGCTACGTGCCAGAGCTAGACAACAAGACAGCCACTTAATCACATCAACCTGCCCTGTGTACTATCAGCCATAACCTGCATCTCCACCTGAAGCCTGCAAAAGGACATGAGAAAAAAACCACAAACTGATTCCCTGCACCAGAGCTGAAGCTGCACCATGAACCAGGACCAGGAAGCTCATCTGACTGAAGACTTCTCCATTCACTGGATTAGGTTCAGCCAGGTCCATTTCAGCAGGCACAGAAAGATCATCCTAACACAGCACAGGGAGGGCAAACCTTTCCTTCTGAACACCTGGAGACAGTACCTCCTCTACGGTACAATCACAGTATTTCATGGGAGGTAGCCCCACTGCTGGCTTTGTTCCACTCTGCATTTGCCTTCATGGCTGTATACCTGTAAACTCATCTTCTGATTTTATTCACCCTGCACCTAACAATTGTTACACAGAATACAGGAAAAGCAAGTGGAAGCAGAATCAAGACCACTTATTTTTGGAAAAAATCCCACGATGTTACACCAGCTTATCTGTAATGCCAAATTGTCCGTTCAGGTGTTATGCAAGATGACCATTTGGAGTATTCACTGAACTACAGCCAC